GATGGACACCTCGTGGCAAAAAAACTCCAGGAAAGTCTTAAACCATGTAGCGTAGGTGTCACGAAAGCATTCTTTCCAGACCCTATGCGGACGCAATCCGGAGTTGAGTGAGGAGACACTAGGGAGAAAAGCATGCAGGATAGGGGAATAAAAGCAGGGGGCGTGTCCAAGGAGCGTTGGTGGTCGGGGAAGGTGTAGCGAGGCAAACAATCTGGGGACGAGTCCAAAGAGAAGTCCAAAAACAGGGCAAAAGTCCATGGCCAGGTGATCCATCCAAGACAGGAGATTAAAAACCAGAACCGGGTCGGGACCGGCAGGGGGAACCGGAACCGGAACCCATGACGGAGCAAGACGCATCCAGGACCCGTGCTCACATAATACGGGAACCAATGCAGAGCCCTGATTAGCATCAGCATCTGGCTTTTAAGGGGGATTTGAAAAGGGGCTCGAACAAGGAACAGGTGCGAGGAATGAGACAAACAAGGAAGGGCTAGAGCACCATTAAGAGGAGGGATTTGCGACTGTGAAAGTAGGACAGTACAAGATAAGCTGGTTAAGATGAGTCTCTCTTGGAATGAGGCACAATGTGTTGCAAAGGACAAAAAATACAGTATAAGGAAGAAACGCATAGTGGCGTCATGACCCACTAGGAATGAAGAAGATTAGAAGTAGTTGTACAGTGACCTATCAATCTCAGTGCAATATGAAATAACAAGGAAGTCGCCCACTTTCCAGTTAATTCATTTAAGTTCATTAACAATAAACAGTTAAAAAAAACATGTATTAATGTAAATTTAAGTTTTGTGCAAGAATATCACTTGGCTTTTCATTTTCTTGCTCCAGGCACTAAACTATCCCTCAACTTTAATGATGAGAGTACTAATCTAATTGCATCTAATTCTTCATTTAGACTCCATATCAGGGAATCCCAAGAGCTGGGACTATGACAGTATTCACATAATAAAATGTACAGTACATGGCAGGTTCAATGATCATCACATTCAAGCTTAGGGCTTCCCTATATAAGCTTTTAAATATTTAGAAACCTTTGAAATGGTCATCTTACACTCTGATCATATTTTCATTTTTTCCACATGATTTAGTATCATAAGCATGTAACAGGGAGCCTCCATTCAGAGAAGTGTCACTCACTGTATTTTAATCCTTTACTTGACTTTTATATTGATGGTGGGAGTGCCTGATATGTCTGACTAGAACTTTAAACAACAGCTGTGAACAGAGCACAATCCACACTAGCGTACTATACACACTCTCACAACTACTTCATAACAGAGAACTCTTACTGGTGATAATTGCATTCTCTAATGGTGTGCTAATGATGTGTTTGTTCTCCTCATACAGAAGTAGAGTATATTGCTCATGTTACAGTATGACTAAAACACACACCTACAATGTACCATGACATGGCAGACACTTATATCTTGAAATTCTAATTCTTGATGAGCACATGTTCGAGAAAATTGGTTCCTCGACAACTGATATGGCATTCACAAAAATAGTTTCTCAATATAAGATATATTTTGAGGTTTTCATAACCTGAGCAGGGCAGCACAGTGGTGCAGTGGTTAAAATTGCTGCCTTGTAGTGCTTGGGGCCTTGGGTTCAACCCCTGACCTGGATTGCTATCTGTGTAGAGTTTGTATGTTTGGGTGGGTGTCCTCACACAGTCCACAGACATGCTCATAATTTAATTGGCTCTGGAAGGGAGTGTGTACATCTTCCCTGAGTTGGACTGGCACCCATTTAGGGTATACTCTGCCCTGCTCCTGTTACTTGCCATGATGGGCTTCTACTCCCCCCTGAACCTGAATTGGAGAAGTAGGTAGAAAATGGATGGATGGAGAACTTGAGTGTACTTTTTCTCTGGGTTTCCCTACAGAGCAAATAGTCTTTACAAGTACTGAATTAATGTCTAGACAGATTCCTTCATATTAATTTCATTTTAGTTGACCTGTTGAAGCTTTATAAATACAGGCTTTTTTCTGTATTATTTGCTTTAAATGCAGTTACAATGGGGAAGGCATTGAAAACAGACTGATGTCCCAAAGTGGCTCTTTTTGAACTGCTTCTAAATAATTGCTGTGTTATTTTCTCCTTAAATAATTGCAAAAAAAATTCAGCAGTGGAATAATTGTTTTCCAATTTTAATGAGGGCAGTGAAAGACCTATCATCATGTCATGCTCATTTAAACATTTTTTGTTTCACACTGAATGTTTAAACCACTGTCCTTAAAGACTTGATGAAAGAAATTTCCCTTCTGTGAATAAATTATAACAATCCACTGAAGCCTAAGCAGCATAAAGACCTGCCTTCCTTCTCTGTGCAGAATTTTCAGAGCTTGTTGTCTAAATAGATAGTGGAGAAGAAGGATGATGAATGTTCTCTCCCTTTGTGGTACAGAGGAAGAACCCACAAAGGGAGCACGATGTTTTATTAAAATTAATAAAACGTGAGTGCAGTTTATTACATAGTAATACCATAGATTCGCTTTTATTGTAGCATGCATAAAGTCTGCTCCACTAACTGATGACAGTCAGTGAGGCTGAATTATAAAGTGCACATGAAAGCTAGATTTTAAATAAAAATGAATCATATTGTACTGCAATATACTTGTCTTGTCAAGTGTTCAAATTGATTCAACCACTGTTTAATTTCTAACAAGTATTCATTTGACCTTTCTTTTGCTTTGATCATATAGCTTAAATCATCATTTACAGTATGTGATGAACTATCCCTCTCTTGTGATCTCACTTATGTGTTTTAGAAGACTTGTTTTGGTAGTATCAATAATATAAGATAGTGAAAACATTAGTAAATGTCATTTTTTTTTTAATTAAAAAAGTTAAGAGCTAAGTAATAATATTTTCTTTATATTTTCACAAACATTTATTTGTTTTGCTAACTTGTACAAACACTAAATTTATTTGCCAATGAAATAATTTCATGTATAAATATAGCATTTAATGCAATCAAATCCAAAAATTCACACACATTATATACAGTGTGTATTTACAGTACAATGTAAAGTCAATGATGAATTTCATAATTAATGGTGTTGTACAATATGTATACATATTCAATGTATTTCATGAGACAGTGTAATTTCCCACCTAAAACTCAATTTCCAAAAGCAAACAGTCTTGTAGATGAGGGTCAATACAAGATGTAACATGATTCAGTTTCTAGAGTGTGTTGTCAGTTATTGTTGTTCAGGTTTAACTACGGTTTAAAATTTGTATTGTGTTCTAAAACTGTGCATGACTCATCTGAGGAAAATGGCTTCCTACTGTAAGCATAGAATGTTTCTGAAACTGTTCAAAAGCCTGACACAGTTGGTAACCGGAAACTCTATCATCTTACATAAAATTTACAGATTACACCTAGGCTGAAGGTTTAACAGTCCACCTTTGTAATGTTGTTATGTGCCAGAAATGCTTAGATAAGACTTGCTAGGTGTATGCTGGCTTCATCTTTACAAAATAAAATTAACCAGTAAATAATAGTTAACTTCTGTAAACTAATTTCCACAGTGCTGAACTGTGACGTCTGTGTCTATGATTTTTAAAAGACAAGTGGCTGTACTTGACATCCTTAAGGGATGAAAAAAAGTACCTTCCTCCCTCTCCACGACAACATGGGCATTATTTACATACTTCCTGTGATTTCTGTTCATTCACACATGTCTGGGCCCTGTCTATATTGAGGTGCTCCAGCATTATTGTTTGATGCTTTCAGGCTTATTCATGTTGGCAAATGTTTAATCCAGCACCACATTAAAGCCCCTTAACGTCCTTAAAAAGTCAAACCTTTTTTGCGCCTTCAAATACCCTGCCTTCATACTGGCGGTCCAACAGTCAATTTAGAATCGACAATATTGCTAAGGTATTTATATTAATTTTGTGTTTCAATAAAAGCTCAATTAACAGTTACAGAAAATGTCTTTCTAAAATCAATGATAATTTCCTTTGTTTTGTGTTTAAAAACAGTGAATTATCCTGACATCCATAAAAAAAAACTCCAGCCTGTAATTGTTTTCATCATCTTTCAAAAGTCTAATCAAGGTCATCTAATATCATCTGCACCCTTGATAACCAAACAGAATAGTTTTTAATCTTTAGTTTTGTCCTAGATCACAAAGAATAATCATGTGGTCAGAAAGACAATAGTCAGATGGGAGCCAAATGAATTATTAGTGATAGCTAAATCTAAGATGTGATAGTAATTATTTGGAATTGGATTGCATACAGACTATGTAGAACAAACCCAAAAGTGCTAGAAATTCCAAAGCTTGACAGATATGTTGACAACAAAAGTGAAAATTAAAATGAGCCAGAACTATTTTTTTTATTTGAATTACCACAAAAACGAACATACACTATTATCCTTAAGAGGTCTATAATTTGTTGTAGTCAGCATATGCTGAGTAAAAGAAGTTCAGAACAAATAATCAAATGATGAGTTATCAGGCACAGTAATGAAATGGATGGGATGAATGACAAATGTGAAGATGCTCGTTTGATCCACTTTACTAAGAATAACAACACACAAAAATTAAAGGGCCCTAAAAGGATTATGGAATGTTTCGTGAAAATTTGGTGGAGGGCTGACCTTCTGGTCATAAAACGAGCCATCGTGTTGAGTGATTAGTGACAAAGAAGCGGCTCAGCTGCAGAGGTGGAGATGAGGTGGAAGTGGGAAATAGAAGACTTGAGAGAGTGAAGGGGATCACGTATAGTATTTCGCGTTTTTTAGGAGAGGAAATGATAATCAGGAGTCATTGCTAATTACTGGCAGCAGAGTCTGATTGAACGTGGTTGTTGTCACCCCTCCCAAACCTTGGTTACAAACTCCATTTGGAGATTCAAGATCCTTTGGTTGCTAATATGTTTAACTGTGTGTGCACAGAATTTCATTGTGTTTAAAATATACCGAATATGAAAATCATCAAAAAAACATTGTTCTTTTTTGTCATTTGCAGTTAACTTTGACCACTTTCAAATCCTCAGAGCCATTGGAAAGGGGAGTTTTGGAAAGGTGAGTGGCATCAGGCTTTCATTTTCCTAAGATAGAAAGTTTAGTGTCCCAGCAAGTTGAAATCAGATTCATATTTTTGAGGGGAAGCATTTGCCTGCAATTCTGTTAGAGAATTTCCTTGCTATGGTTAATTCATGTTCTCATTCCTAAAAAACAATCAGAAAGTCTTCACAAAAAAATGTGGATCCTTTAAATTGATATTTACCACTAGACACTAGAATAGATATTCAAAATTCTGAATATCTATAAAATGCCTATAGATAATATATATTATTAGCAGCTGACATTAAAATTCTATAGTTTTTTTATATATTTGTAGAACCTTTAAATGAAATTATTTTGTGATATACTGTATATACTAATTTGATATATAGTGTTTTAAGAAAGATGCACACTATTCAAAATCACTACCATGGTTTTTATGTTGTTCATGTGGGGTCAAATCCACAAATCACTGCATCTGTTTATCCCAGAAAAATATGCTGATCATTTATTATAATTATTTTAGCTGGAAAGACAATGTTTTATTAAAACACTTTCCGAAGGAACATATGTTAGAGAAAAAACAGAAATTAACTAGGGAATAGGTTTGGATTGCTTATTTTAATGAGTTCTTCAGAAAACCAGACAATGTGAACACAATGTGGCATAGGAAGAGATTTCTGGAGGTAAAAGCTGGTCCACATGATTTAAACTTGCTGTGGGAGGCAGGCAGATTAGGCTGGTACCCTTTCATTTCTTCAAATTGAGTAGCTTATGGAAACTTCTGCTCCAGGCTCAATATTCCCTGTGTGCAACATTACACATTAAGTATCCTTTGCTGTTACTAGCACTCATGGCAGTACGAAAACATAATAATATAAAAAATGTTTAATAAAAAAACAGAATATTTACTTACACATAGCTTGAGGTGGAATTGCTGCTTTTTTTTTTGCTGGTTTGTTTTTGTCCTTTCTCTCATGGTTCCAAAGCAGATGGGGAGACTGCTGAATTTCAGAATTAGTGCCTCAGCCTCACTAAGTACTGTCTAAATGTTTTGACATAATCAAGACAAATGTTCAGCTAGGGGCAAAGGTTTTAAGTATTTACCAAGTGTAAGTGTCAACAAAGAGATCTGAAAAAAATGCTACCTAGGAATTACAGTATATAGCAAAACCAGTCATATGTTCCCTTTTTTATGGCAGGTCTTTTTCTATGCCCAGAGACATGCCGACAGAAAGTTTAGTTTCCAAGTGATTTTGCAAATCACATCTGCTGTAGAATGGATTCTGCAGATCACTCCTGGCTTGTAGTCATTGATAAAACTGGATGTTAACACATTATTCCCTAATGTAAGTAACCAACTTAAACCACGCTGTAAGCTTCCTGTGCATTAGCACAGTTATCTTGTTATACTAATACAGTATGTTGAATTCTATAGCATGTCTTCAAGATTTCCAGAATAATTCTAAATGAAAATTTACAAATTTACAAAATTTACAAAATTTAGGCTATGATCACTTTCAGGAAAAAAAGCTATTGAGCTGAATTTTAATAGATCGTTATTTAGGTTGGAGGTTGTCGCATTTATTGGTCTTATTGTCAGAGACAACTATTATTATTATTCATCGCCTACCTTATGTAGACCCTAATGACCTTATATAGAACAGAACAGACAACTCAATTGCAAAAAAAATATCTGTAGCATTTGACCTTTTTCATACAATTGAATTCCAATGAATAAATAATAAATTCATATCAGATAACTTCATGAACCAACCTAATATCACAATTGTGCAGTATCCCTGTAAATTTTTATAAGGCAAAGCATGATTGATTTTCAAGAAAAGCAAAATAATGAAAAGGTTATTTTTAGTACCACCACTCCAGCTTGTTTGATTTTTGGGGAGAATTTAGTTTTTAAAATGTTTGCCATTTTTTTTTTGTTTTGCATTCGCAACCTATGTTGTAATTACAATGTAGTCAATGTTTGTACATTAATGTGTTGAGATCACACATCTGACTTTTAGGTGAGGAGTATTTAAATATATATGTGGATCGTTTAAGCCAGACTGTGGCAGGCCAGTCTTTATGGGGAGAGGTTATAAGTCTGCCTGCCACTAGAGGCCATTAAAGGTCTCTGTTATTGTAGAAAGGTACTCTGGGTGATGGTTAATTGATTAGATAATTGGTGAAGGGTTTAGAGGGCACATTCTCATATTTGTATGATTTTGGGTATATACTGTAAAGGGCCTCAGTGGGTGAATTTATGGACAGGGATTTTGACAGCAGACTTGTGGGGCTCAGCTCCTGTAACATACTTCTTACGTCCTTGTGGATCAGTTGCAATACATTGAAAGTTGCATACTAACTGGGAGGGGGGTGATCCTTTAGTTTGAAGGCAACTTTGTACTAAACTAGTAGGGTAGGTAAATACCATTTGCAACAAACATAGCTACTGAAATTAGTCCACATCTCCATGCTAAAAATGTACTCAATTGAGACATGCAATTGACAATGTTTTTGGCCCCCTCAAGCTGACTTCCTTAGGTTAGGGTCTGTCACAAAAACTTTTATTATTTTTCTCTTTCAGTATGTTGAAATAAGTGCTCTAAAATGGTAGATACAAGATAATGTATGTTACCGTTGGAACAGGACAATTTTCCTGTAATACATTATATTAACTTTATTTTATACAGCACCGTTACCATGTAAAAAACACAGAAATCACATTTCACTAACTTAACATTGCAAACCCAAGAAAACAAATCAGGTACAGAAGTCAAAGCAATCATCAAAATTCCTCTCTGGAAAAGGTTTCAGGCTTGAATTTGTTTGGGATGGTATTCTAGTCTACCCTTCAGATGAAGAGTGGAAAAACTACTCATTAATTTTGTTTTTGTGCCTGTACCTGCAGGGTTCCTGCTGCTGTTTATTCTAAGATTGTTAGTTTCTTATTCTAAGATTGTTCCTCAAAGATGAGCATGAGGACATGTTATGTATTTAGTTAACCTGAAGTTTACAGTGTACTTTCTGTTGAGTTTAAAACCATTGTGCTGTAAGTTACTCCCCCAATCAAATTCTATAAATCTAGAAATACTATTATGTATTACCATTATATATAGTACCATTATGTATGCTACTTTACTCTTACAAAAGAAACAGAAGCCAGGTTTGTAGCATGTAAGAAGCCAGTAATCAAGTATGGCTGCCACCACTTTTTTTATGTTGTCAAGAATTACTTGGTTCCTATCTATTTCTCTTTTTGACTCAGTGTGATCAGAAATGAAATTATTTATGGAAATAATCAGTTAACACTGAATAATGTGTATACTATGATACCAATCATTTAGATGACACCTTCATCTGAAATAGCTTACATTTATAAGTATTCAAATGTGAAACATAATACTGTTGTGCAGAGTAATGCAAGACATGTTACAGAACAAAGCATTGATTACAAGAAAATGTACTTGAGGAGCATACACTAGTGATTAAATGAATTGGCTCAAAACTTATTAGGGATACAACCTTTAATGTTGCACATACTGAAATGTACTATTTTTATGTAAAAATCTTTATGATGAGATAGGCTTCTCCAGATGCATGTTATTTAATCTGTTCTTGAATTGAGAATAAGACTGCAAAAAAATCAATTTCTAATGTCAAACATCCTTCAAAGTAAATAGACTGTACATTCTTCCTTCTTTTGCTACATATTGAATTTTCAATTATTTAGCTTTGATTTTTTTCACTGGCACATACGTTACTTGGAGTCCAATCTTTGTTGACATTTGATGAAAATGTCACTTCTAACCAGAGAAAGAAGCAGCATTTGTAGAGAAGTTTATTACTTCTTTTCAACATCGAAGCTTTAATGCTTTCTCTAATTTTGATGGTGTGTGACATTACCTGCCAAATGTAAACTTTTAACAAACTGCTGCATCTGTTTCTGTAATAGAACAGCCATTGAAGTGACTTTCAAATTGTTGAGGAGAATTTGTTTTTCATATCTCAATGTATAAATTATTTTAGACTGTGATGGATCAGTTTTAAAATCCTATTGCTTTTTTCAGTGTGAAAGACAAATGTCACATTTCCTGGGACTCATAGAGCTTATAACATTTGTCTCCCATTGATTAAACAAGTAACAGTAGGTACCGTAGATGAGGTGTAGTTATTTAAAAGAGCCCATAGACAACAGAACTGTCATGGCTTTTGTCTGTAGCATCAACTCAGTTCTGATTTATATAATATTATTAAGACTGACTAGAGATTTATGGTGATAACCAACTGACACATGATTTTAGCAAGGGTATAGAAAGGAGAAACCTCGGAGGTGAATTTGTCACAATATTACTCTTTAGAGCAGTCTCAGTTATTCTAAAGGGAAGTAACCTGTATAGAAATCCAGTCTATTTGTCTGAGGCTATTGAGCTATTTTATTACTCAATATCCAGGGTTTACAATAATCTCAGACAGAAAAGTACTTTGTCATGAATTAAATAAACACATTTCCACAAATGTGAAGGAAAATAAGCTCTAACTTGAGCATTTCTTTGCAATGATGAGCAAATATCAAACAAGACGTTTACCTGTACCATTTGGAATTTTGAAATGAGAAATTGCATTCCAAATGTATTACTGTATGTCATGATATAACATTCACAGAACAACATTGTGGTGTAGTAGATAGTATTACTCCCTCACAGAGCTGGGGCCCTGGATTCTATTCCTGCTGTGCTATCTACATGGCCTTTGTTTTCTCTCCTCCTGTTCATGTGGCTTTCCTCCAGGTGCTCCAGTTTTCTACCACAGACCAAAGCCATACCGGTAGGTTAATTGGCTTCTGGGAAACTTATTTGTAGAGTAAGTGTGTGTGTTTGTGTCGCCATGTGCCTTTCACTGTTACTTGCTAGGATGCCAGCACCATATTTCACAATAGGGATGGTGTTCTCAGGGTGATGTGAGGTGTGATGCGTGCACCAAATTTAGCGTTTAGATTTGAAGCAAAAATGGTC